TAAACCATTATAAAGTAACTGCATGAACATTTTGCTAAATTTCTTCATTTGTTTTCCACTGAAGAGAAAATGTAATCATTTAATTGTTTCATAGTATATGTATTGATAAATTATAATAATTTTTCAATATTATTTTAGAAAATTATGAAGTAATATTGCTGTGCAAAAGTCTGCCTTTGTGTTCCACTGAAGAAGAAAAAGTCATGTGGGTTTGAAATGACATAAAGGTGAGTAAATAATTACAGAAAGATCTTTTCTGAGTGAACTTTTCCTTTAACGTACAGTAAAAGAAACCATGCAGTGGTAAAACGCTGCTGGAAATCGATTTCAGGCGGCTCCGGCACTGATAGAGCTGCGTTCTCTTTCTTTAATGGAGGAGAAAGACCCCTCACCTCTCTCCTCATAACTGTATTGATCTTTAACACTCACACATGAAAGACATTCTTTGCAGTAGTTTAAAGTCTTTCCCCACGAGACTGACTGGCTTCTCTCTGTGTCTCTCGATTTTATTACCTCCTCTTTTTCCCTTAGTTATTGAGACGCACTTCAGAATATCTTTTGTAGGTGGTTGTAGTTGTAAGTTTCTAAATGCAAGTTTGGTTCTGTGCTGGTTTGGGCCCAGAGGAGCCGCTCGTATCTTATGTACTCTGTTCTTTGAGCTTCTCCAGTAGTCTGCGTGTGTTTTGGTGGAGTTAAAACTTGCTTCCTCTGATTGGCTTTCAAGCGCAGGGTTTCGCTTCACTGCAGCCTTTCATGATGTGAAAGATGCTCTAGCGTTTTCACCCTCTTAACTCGTGTCTTTGTGAATACTCAGGCTGCCAAATGTGGATTCAGCCGTCAGATACTTGAAATAATGAACAGCACGGGGTGAGAGACTTTTACGATTCTACACGTACAGTGTCATTTAAGCTCTTTTTGGAGAATGTTCTTAACGTGAATTATGAATAACTGAAAGACTAAATGTATGTTATTAAAGTAACATGTTTTTCATTAAAATTTCAGAGTTGAGTACGGAACGTTTGACATATTGGGAGATGAAGAGGTGAGAGTTCCTTCATTTTTAAGTTTATGTTTCCATTCTTGGTAAATGTTGTCTTGCCAAAGCAACTTCAAGAAAGACTGTGTTCCAAAACCTAGTGAGCTCCTTACAAACTGAGAACTGAATAATTAAATAACAATTAAGCAATCATGTTTAGAATGCAATTTTATTTTTACTATATGAATGTCCCTAAATAAATTCTGTTTTTGTGTTTTTAGCCAAAACGTGCACTTCTGATTGTTTCCACAGGTTAGACAAGGACTCAGGACGTACTCCAACTGGCCGACGTACCCACAGCTGTATGTTAAAGGGGAACTAATCGGAGGCCTGGACATAGTCAAGGTGAAATGCATAAAAGTGTTTAACATGAATCCTCTTACTAAGATGATAAAGATACATTTAGAATTAGGCACTACAAACAGCATTGCATTTATAATGCTTCATTTGTAACGAATGTAAATAATTCTAGACTTCAGGAAAATAGTCATTATTAAAGCAATAAGCCCCAAGAAGCCGTGGTTTACAGTGAATTTATAACAGCTAAGGGGCGTTTTTAGGGGCGTTTTTAGGTCGTGCCTAAAAACGCCCCTAAAAACGCCCCTTAGCTGTTATAAATTCACTGTAAACCACGGCTTCTTGGGGCTCATTGCTTTAATAAAATGGTTATTCCATATACGTAGTAAGGTTTCACAGAATAAAACACAGCAAATAAAGTGTAATGATATAAATAAAAACAGTATTCTTCCACCAAACTCCTCAGAAACGGTTGTGGTTCCAAGTGTAATTTACAACAGCTTCGAACGCGGCTCAACCAATCAGAATCCAGGACCGGAACTATCTGTTTTATAAAGTGTTTTTTCAGATTGCTTTCATTGGTATAGAGATTTAAAGGCACAATATGTAAGATGTTTTTATTAAAATATCCAAAAACCACTAGAACAGTGTTATATTTTGCTGACTTGTTTACTTACATAAATGTTTCGAAGAATGTTTAAATCCAGATAAATCAGCAATTTTAACTAGTCACACGGAGCGTGTCCATATTGTCATTGTGTCGCCAATGACGTCATAACCCCTCGATTTCCGGTTTTGTGCACCCTCCAGCGGCGAAAATTACATATTGTGCCTTTAAAGAGCAAATCTAAATCTGATATACACTACCATTCAAAAGTTTGGGGTCGATATGTTTTTTTAATATTTTTTAAATAAACATGCTCAGCGAGGTTGCATTTATTTGATCAAAAATACAGTAAAATAATAGTTTTCTCTGTTTGAATATTTATTAAAATGTAATTTGTTCTTGTGATGGCAAAGCTGAATTTTCAGCAGCCGGGGTTGGAAAGTGTTGAAAACAGTTCTGCTGCCTAATATTTCTGTGGAAACCATGATGCAAGATATTTTGATGAATAGAAAGTTCAATAAAACCTCATTTATTTGAAATGGAAAACTTTTGTAACATTATATATGGCTTTACTGTCACTTGTGATCAATATAATGCATCCTTGCTGATTAAAAAAAAACATTTGAATGGCAGTGTAAGAGTTATATCATCTGCCTGTAGAGATGTACTGCAGTTGGTGTTTTACTCCAGCAGAGGGTAGATGCAGCTCTACAACTAACAGGCAGTATGAAGTTAGCCAGTGCTGTCAGAACCATCTCTGAACCTGAATGTACAAAAGATGAATTGTAGTTGATGAACTGTGAAGGTGTTTCATAATGGAAGGGAAATGTTTATATTGTTAAACAGGAGCTGAAAGAGAACGGCGAGCTGGCATCTGTGTTGAAAGGAGAAAACTAAACTACTCCAGCACTGAAGAACATGTGGATCACATTGCCGAGTTGCCTGTAACCTGCACACTTAACCTCAGGAATGGAGTACTCGGATTAGACTTATCCCATCCAATTTAGCGTTTTTTTTAGAAAATGACTACATTTCAAAAACATTGTTGATCCTCTGCTGTAAATCCAATAAAACCAATTCTGTGATCTGTTTTTGTTGTACTGACATATTTTAGATCTTGTTTATACCTGGTACTTACATCCATCTTTGGTGACCTGATTACAAGTGGTCAACCGAGATTTAAAATGTACACTGGGTATTGACACATGTCTTAAATATGGCTGCTGTGACCACACATTTTTGCCCAATCAAATACTTTTAGAATGAGAATGTCCATCCCATTGCAACCAATTTCGATAAAAGTGGCATTGGGCAAAATCCAAGACTGATGCATGTATATGTATGGGCATTTTCTTATTAAATTGCAAGTAATTTATTGTGTTTATGCAATGACAGGTTAGTTGGGTAGGTGATCCTTTACTGTTTTCTGGGATGCATCAGTATGCATTTACCTTTATATTTAAAAATGACCTTATATTTCAATGTGGTTTGAGTCAACATTTTTTTTAACCTAAATTTAGCGCCGTCCACTTGTGATCAGGTATCCCGGATCAGATGTTTCATGTAAACTTGGTCTTAATGTAAATCCTGTTTTTCTTTAATGTCTCTGTCAGTCAGAGCCAATGATTTGGCATGTTAAACCGTCCTGTGTGAATCTGTGCCCTTATTAAAGAGCTCCTCCAACTACCTTTAATTGCAGGTTGTTAGATTAGGCCAATTTTTGCCGCCTTTATTTGAGTTTTTATCCTGGATATGTGACCCCTTTAATGAGTGCGGGAATGATGGATGGTACCATTCACGATCAAGTCCACTCGCTTTAATTAATGTGATCCTTGAGCTTTTCAGTCGGAGTGACTCTGCCAAGCTCTTGGGGACAGGAAGAACTCTCTTATTGTGATTAAAGATCCATAAATATTAATCAGCAGTTGTTGGTTGGGGGGAAATCGACCCACACCTCGTCTGGCTTTGAGCCGAGAGTGTAGAGTGGCCATTATGTTCCTCTCACACACACACCTGTGGTTCTGGGTAATTGCAGCACTCCCATAATCTCCCCACAATAGCACACTCAAATATGCCTTGATGCATGAATTGAAACGTGGCAACCACTGTTCATAGGCATGTGAAACAGTTTCATCACACTTCCTTAAAGAGGGGGAACACATTGTGAAGGTTCACTTTGGCATAGTATCAGGATTAATAACCGTAGTAGATATCCAGTGGTGTTAAACATAGTAAATCGATTTAAGGTTTTAATTGTTTAAAATGAAGTCAGACACTTAATATCGTGGAATAAATTAAACAAACTCCTGTGCATAGTGTATATCTTCAGTGGTACTGGTAAATAAAAAAAAATATTTTATTTCTTTTGTGCACTCTGCACTGTGAGTTATGCATATGCAGTTATTTTTTTAAACCTTAATTTTCAGAGTATACAATGTATATTATATTATATAAGCCAGTTAAAAATGCCTTCAAGGAACCTTCTGAGAAAGCTGCACTGTTGCTTTTTTGTATTTGCCATGTCTGAGTATAAAAGGTAATATTTTAAAGAGCCCAATGTTGAAACATGCAATAAAGACTTTTGTGCACAAATCTACATTTCTAATGTATCTGCCAGGGTGGTCTAAATAAATTATGACTATGGTGCATGTCATTAGTAGTGTAAGTATAAAATACTTATATTAGCTGTTACATAAAATAAGCTTAGCATTACACTGAGAGTGTGGTTATTAATCTGGTGACCTACTTAGCATGTGTTCTGCAAAGTGCAATCTCTTGCACTAATGACTTTCAAAATATCACAATATATATATTCTCACACATTTTAGGTAGCCACAAAAAACATGCTTTGTGGTGCAGGCCTTATGGTGTGTGTAACGGCTGCGAATGGATGAGACAGGTGATTGTATTTAATGACTTATTGGCAAATTCAGTCATCAAATATCCAGCCAAGTGTTCACAGGTGAACAGTATTTTATGTAATTAGACATGTCAGCTGATTGGATAAACAGGCTTATAAAAGACAAATGCCCGGGTCAGTGTATACACAGATTTGTAGTTGTTCTTGAAGCAGTTCTGGTTTGGTGTAATAGAGTCTCTTTTCAACAAAGCAGTTTTGTTAATGTTTTTTCTGTTATGGGTTGGAAAAGGTTAGTACATTTTAAATCCTATCGCTGTGTTATCAGTTATATGTGTTATGCAGAGTTTTTATCATAATTTTCTCTCTCTCTCTAGGGTCCACCACTTGGTTATCATCTTGATTTTCTTGAAACATGCTGTTGGTCATGAAGGTGAGCATGGTAGTGTGTGGGTTTATTTTATTTTTATTTTTATTTAAAAGGGCCCTGCACTCTATTCATTGTGCTTATGTTCTCTAGGTTCGTTTTCTCAGAATGCTCACCTTCAAGAGAATTGGCGTGTCCACAAACGCTCTTCCCCTAGGGTAATCCAGTCTTCTGTGTTGGAGGCTCCAGTGACTGGAAGCAGTCCTGTTGAAGAAGTGGCCCCTAATATGGTTATTGGGAAAAGCCTGAATGCCAGCAGGTCTAGGTTTTCCCTTTCACGTCAGTATGTAAAAGGAGGCTTTTCCAGCAGCTATGAACCTATGTCTCGTAAACAAAGTGCACCAAGTGTCTCGGATAGCATTTCTTCAGTGCTTAAACTCCAGGGTTCCTCCAGTCCAAATACCCAGAATGAAGTCAGCCAGTCTGCTGATAGACAAGGCTCCTACAGCTGGTCTTCTCTCTTTTCTCTGGATGGCTCTGGACCGCAAGGAGTTTCTGCTCAACTTGCTTCCACACCTGTACGCGGTGGTAGTTCCAGTGGCTTGTCCATCCTGTCTCCAAGCTCCTCTAGTCAGTCTACCCCTGACTCTTTGTCAAAGCTTAGTTTCTCACCTTTTGATGTTTCTGGCCTGCCCGCCAGTAATCAAAGTCCCTCAAACATGTTTACAGCAAGCTCTCAGAGCAGCTCTGGCCTTCAGTTGGGAGGAACCTCTAGTCTGCTTTCTAAACCGAGTAGCTCTTCCTCAAGATCCTCAGGAAGTTCCCGCCGTGTTTTTACTGTTACTTATCAGGGCAGCGCTGGGCCACAACTGGCAGGAGGTTCCAGCCAGCTTGTTTCTACAAGTGGTTTGCTCACCCAGCCTCCAAGTGCTGAAAGCCAGAATACCTCTGGATCCTCCTATGTCAAGCTTGCTGCTTCACCCCTAGGTTTTAGTCAGGTTACCAGTGGTCCAAGCTCTTCCAGGCAGTATACATTAAGCTCCCAGAGCAGGGTTGGTACTGAGCTGGCAGCTTCCCATCAATATGTACCAGGACCGGGAAGTAGTTATGGTTTGTCTGTCCAGCCTCAAGGCACCGCTAGCCAGTATGCTTCAGCTTTTTCCTTGGGTGCAAAACTTCCCATGTCCAGCCAGTACTATCAAGCAACTCGGAGTGGTTCTCTCTCTCCAAGCCAGTCATCTCTGGGGTGGCAGCCTTCAGTCACTAGGACCCAGGGTTTTCAAGCCTCTAGTACAGCAGTGTCACAAGGATCTGGTACATCACAGAGCAGCTCTTGGTTTCCCAGTAGGCTCTCTTCACTGTCCTCTGCAGGAGGTTACATCAGCTCTTCTGTGCAATCTCAAGGTACCTCTAGCCAGAATGCCCCGGTTCCTTTGGGTGCAAATGTGCCTGTGTACAGTCAAGCTGCTCCAAGTGGATCCTCGTTGTTTATGAGCCAGCCATCTCAGTTGCATCCTCCTGCCTCTAGATCACAAAGTTTCCAGACCTCTGGTACAGTTGCATTACAGAGTGGCTCTCTGTCTCAAAGCATTAAGACTCCCAGTAGGTTCTCTATCTCGGCAGTAAGCCCTGGCCAACTTGCCTCCACACAAGGAAGTGGCAGATATGATGGCTTGTTTGGCCTGTCTCAAAGTGCCTCAACTCGGTATAGCCCTGGGTCCCCTGTATATGCCAAACGTGGTTCCTCCCTGCTGGACGTTTCTAGCCAATCTTCCAGTGGTCCGGGCTCCTACAGAAAGTACACCTCAAGTTCCCAGAGCAGGGCTGGCACTCAGCTGGCAGGCTCTAGTCCTTATGTGCCTGTACAGACAGGAAGCACCTCTACTGATGACTCAAATCTGCGGCTGCAAGGTACCTCTAGCCAGTATACCCCTTTGAATGCAAAAGTGTATAGTCAGGCTGCTGCAAGTGGACCCTTGTCTCCGAGCCAACCATCTCAATGGCAGACTTCCTCTAAATGGTTGCAAGGTTTTCAGACCTCTGGTACAGTTGCATTACAGAGTGGCTCTCCATCTCAAGGCTCCAAGGCTCCCAGTAAGTTCTCTACCCTTACCTCTGCAGCAAGTCCTGGCCAATTTGTCTCCACACAAGAAGGAAATGGCAGATATAGTGGTTTGTCCAGCCTGTCTCCAAGTACCTCAAGTCTGTATAGCCCTGGGTCCCCTGTATATGCCAAACGTGGTTCCTCCGTGCTGGATGTTTCTAGCCAATCTTCCAGTGGTCCGATCTCCTACAGAAAGTACACCTCAAGTTCCCAGAGCAGGGCTGGCACTCAGCTGGCAGGCTCTAGTCCTTATGTGCCTGTACAGACAGGAAGCACCTCTACTGATGACTCAAATCTGCGGCTGCAAGGTACCTCTAGCCAGTATACCCCTTTGAATGCAAAAGTGTATAGTCAGGCTGCTGCAAGTGGACCCTTGTCTCCGAGCCAACCATCTCAATGGCAGACTTCCTCTAAATGGTTGCAAGGTTTTCAGACCTCTGGTACAGTTGCATTACAGAGTGGCTCTCCATCTCAAGGCTCCAAGGCTCCCAGTAAGTTCTCTACCCTTACCTCTGCAGCAAGTCCTGGCCAATTTGTCTCCACTCAAGAAGGAAGTGGCAGATATAGTGGCTTGTCCAGCCTGTCTCAAAGTACCTCAAGTCAGTATAGCTCTGGGTCCCCTGCATATGCTAAGCGTGGTTCCTCCCTAGATTTTTCTAGCCAATCTATAAGTGATCCAAGCTCTTCTGGCCTGTATGCATCAAGCTCCCAGAGTATGGCTGGAACTCAGCTGGCAGGTTCTAGTAGTTATGTGCCTGCTCAGACCGGAACCACCTTCACTGGAGCATCTTTCCAGGTTCAAGGTACCTCTAACCAGTATGCCCCTTCTGTGTCCAGTCAATACACTCGGGCTTCTCCAAGTGAATCATCGGTTGGCTCGGAGGCATATCGAAAACGGCAGCCTTCAGCCTCAACTTTGAGCCAATGGTTTCAGGCCTCTGGCACAGCTGTACCCCAGAGCAGCTCTTTCCCTCAAAGCTCTCAGACTTCCAGTGGATCTTCCTTCCTGCCAGCCCTGAGCCCTTCTGTGGCCCAGAGTTCTGTCTCTAGTTCTCGGAGGACATTAAGCTTCTTTGGTACAGGACTCGGACCCTCTAAGCTCTCAGCTCAGGCTGCTTCTGGCTCCACAATCAGCCAAATATCTCCTGGTCTGTCTGCTTCAGTTAATCAACCCCCAAACTCCATGACTTCATCTCTAGGCTCAAGTGTCCAAGGAGCTTTACAAGGTATATTCTCTGGTCAGTCCAGTGACTCAACATCACTTATCTCAAGTAGCTATGGTTCCACCTATGACCAAAAAGCTACTGGCTTTTTCAGACCTTCCCAGAGCTCCTCTGCTACAGGACGATACTCATCTGTCAAGGGCTAAGGGACTGCCATGTGCTCTGGTTCCGTAGACAAATGTCAGCGCTATATGGTAGAAGTATGTGCTTTTATAGTGTAATTTTGCAGCAATAAATTGCGTTTAATGGAAATGTGGTGTTGAGTGCTTACTCTTTAAATACCAAGCTTGCTGTTGTCGGTGGTGTTGCTTTAAATCAGACTACAATCCTCAGCTACACGTCTTGTTCCCTGGTTATTTACTCCATATACCATTTAAAATATAATGACTGGTTTTGTAGTGTACCACTAATGGTTGCTCAACCTTCTGGATAACCGGTGTAATAAGTGGTCTACACCTCACTGTGGTTATACCTGCACGCTTAAGAAAAATGGTTCTGAACCGTACCAGAAAAGGGTTCTTCGGCTTGTAAATATAGCAGAAACCCTTTTTAATGCTAAATAGAACCTTTTTATAGGGTTCCATATAGAATAGTGCTTTAAAAATGCCTTAGGACCTTAATGGTGTTAAGTAACTTTTTTTTTTTTTTTTTTTTTTTTTTTTTTTTTTCTCCCCCTCTTTCTCTCTCTCTGCCTGGTCTTAATATCTTGATGTGTCTAATAGGGTTTTACAAAAACAATGTGTCAATTAGTTTTTTTTTGTTTTTTTTTTAATTATGTGAAATTGTAGCAAAAGTGACAGTGTTCTAACGGTTATTAGCAGGATACATTAATGAATGACAATGTACATTGAACAGAAGTAATGCTTTAAGTAAAACAAAATGGTTTATTGAAGACCAAGCTCCAGTGAAATATTTTCACAATCCTCTGATACCTGTGAGTCCATCATTGTGTGGTTGAATGGCAGTTTCTCTCTGCAGATGATTAGGTTGTAGGATGTGACTGCATCTAAAATGCACAATTAAGTTTAGATATACGGTTTGTCTCCTTTTGTTTGTGAAAATTGTTTATAAAGGCCTGAAGTAGTATGTGAGCACTTCACAATGTTAAAAGGAAAAAGTAATAAATTCAAGGGATAGCTGGGTATGTTTATGCATAAACCCTAGTAATATCTAACAATAGACCATATATTCAATATCTTTGTTACTTAGTGAAGAAGAGAGGAGTATCCTTACCTGAATACACACACCTATATGTATATACATTATTTTTTTATTTACCATGCTGTCATACTTAAAGTATTTTATAGGAATGAACAGCGACACAATACAGTTCTGAAAGTGCTGTGATTGTGTTATCACTTTGCTTAGAAGGTTGTGACAGACCCAAATCATCACTGCTGCATAGTTGCATTTTTCCAGTTGCCAAATATGTTAATGTAGTTAATGTAGTAATTACTTCCGATTCTGGCGCTATGGCATTTCTGCGTGGTGTCGGAGAATATTAGTGTGTCTCTAGTAAGATCAGTCACAAACATAATCCCCGCACGAGCATCTTATTCACTCACTGTCATGCATTGTGCAACACATTTATTCTCCCTCTTCATGTTTCGTCCATTTTCTCCACTCTAAAGAAACTCTTAAGCTTCTCAAAAGTCCTTGTCCGTACTCCTAACAATTTTGGACCAAAATTTAAAGTCTCCCTGAAATCAAAATTAAAGTTTTTTTGGGTGTTAGTATCAATATCTTAGTGTTAAGGTTATCTAGAAGGCAGTGTGCTCCAAAACAGTGACAAAATTCGCATTTAGAAGATATAAGCATTCAAAGCTTGCAGTTCGTCACTTCCGCCAAAACGGCTCAACGATTTTTTTGACGTCACATCGTACTTCAGCTTCTCATCAAACTTTCTGTCCAATCAAATGCTCTCTAGAATCCGAAGCGCCCACCCCCTACACTATAAAATAGATGCTGAAGCCGCGGCTGAAATCAGTCACTTGTCCACAGAATTAGTATTTTCTGTACAGTGAATGGCACGTAGTGCACTATATAGGGGACAATGAACGATTCAAACAGTGTAAATATGCTTTCCACTGAGGAAAAAAGGAATTCTGGTTTCGCGCTGTGTCACGCTAACCACCGCACCGCACACACACTCTGCTCCGGTCCAGAGACACGATAGCACGGAGCGGATCACATGCGCGAGTCGGCGCAGACCACAAAATGTATCAGAGCTATTTGAATTCTACACAGAATGCTATATTTTATAGCAATATAGATGAGATTGTGGCTGGCATACCCTGTCAAATTAGACTTTACGGAGCTCAACGGCTCTAGCCCAAACTGTGATATAAACGAACGCTATTGGCTATTTTAAAAAGACGCGGAGCTTCTTGATATGTCCCGCCCTGTCTTCCTGTTTCCGTTAAAATGACGTCAACACAGAGTAACTCTGCGTGTTCCTAAGCATTTCAGGGGACCTTTAAGACCTCTTTTAAGCAGTGTTGCCAATTTAGCTACTTTGTAGCTAGATTTAGCGACTTCCCCGCCCCTTTTGAGACTTTTTTCAAAAGTTTAGGGACAAATATAGCAACTGCTTGGACAAACCTTATCCAAGTTCTCATCTTGCCCACTGATCTACGTTCATCTTTATATAGATCAGTGAATTTGCCATTGTGATGTCATCTAGTGACATTTAGCTACCAGTTTTAGCTACTTTCAATTGAAAGCAGTTGGCAACACTGCTTTTAAGGGTTAAGATGCTTTCTGAATTACTTTTTTTTTTTTTTACTGGGATCTTTTCTTTACTTTTAAGAGGAAACACCCACAGTTCTAAGAATTTTCTTAGAATTTTTTTACTAGGAGCATCTCTTAGCACTAAGACTTTTCATGAATACGGGCCCAGTTGTTGTTGGCCAGAATAAGCTGCAGCTGGGACGATTTATGCCACGTCTTTTGCTTTTTCCTTTCTCTCTCCAACCTTGCATAGCTGTGTCTTTGGGACCACCTGCATAAATATCACTGTTCAAACACTTAACAGCAGAAATAACGGGCAGAAGAGATCAATACTTCCATTTTTTCTTATTAAAGAAGGCACTAAAATGCTTTTTTTTTTCTCCTCGCCGGAGATGCTTGGTCCCCTTTCATTATCTCAAATAACAGCAACAAATTCCACTCAAGGTGTACCATCTAATTTTGAGTGGATTACCTTGAAGCAATACAATTCAGCATTTAGCTCCATGACCGTGGAGAGACTAGCAGCCCCTGCTGACAGAGCAGAGTCGGGTGACTAGAATGCGGTCAGGTGATTGACTTATAGATATGGATACATGTAGTGAAGCATGTAATGAGCTCCACAAACACAGTGACTTTGATCTTTAGAGGATGTAAAGACATGACTAATGTTGGACACATGGCTATAATGATACCTGACTCCCTGAAGTTCCTTTCATGTGTTAGAGACAGCACTGAGGCGAGAAGAAAAGACTCTAAGAGTTTTGTTCCTCAATTTGTAGCATCATTTGAGATGAGAAACAGCCTTAGAGGTCTAGATGGCAGTGTGAATGTGTATGCATGTGAGCATACTGTGAATTACTGATTGTGTGTGTGTGGTTTATTATCTGGAAATTGGGACAGAACCCGACATCATTTCTCAAAATGATGCTAATCTGCTCTGGAAATAATGGTTTTGATTAATGTCAATGTTCAGAGAGCAAGACATATTACCTGTAATTTCCATGATAAAAGAGATTGCTTGGTTTTGGTGGAATATGATTACATGCAAAAGTCCAAAAACAGCTATTAAAATGCAAATTGCTGAATGATGTTTACAATATAAAAATCACCTATAACATACCAAGCCTTTATGGAGTATAGTAACAGCCGATATATTCAGCATCCTTGTTTCCATAAGTAGTTTCCCCATTTATTTTCTTCACAGAGAAAAAAAAATATAAAAAAATCCAACCCAACAAGCTCTGAAATTAATCACAACTTTTTTTCTAGTTTGCATGTAATATTCTGCTTCAAATCAAGGGTAATAAAATGTAAATAAATAACTTAAACAAATAACAACAGTACAATATATATATATTTTTTACTTGTTAATTATGAATATACACCATATATTTACATTTACATTTACATTTACATTTAGTCATTTAGCAGACGCTTTTATCCAAAGCGACTTACAATTGGGGGATACATAAAGCGATTATTCTTAAAGAGGCAAACAGACACAGGAAGTGGTTGTAATACCAAGTTCTTAGACATTGTTCAATATTACGCAGGACACTCACGTGCAGCCGTCTGTACCGTTATATATTTACACAAATATATAATGAGGCTTGATTATGCAATCATTTGCTTTATGGAACAAATATTTCATTATTATGACATCTAAACTATGCATACTGGGCAACTAATTTGATGCTAGTTTCACTAGTCACTTTCTTGTCAGAATAAAAATAAACTCCAAAACTTGAATATTAATGTGTTTTTATATATATATATAAGTAGCTGTGTATTTAGTGCTGCAGCAACCCTGCCATTTTTGCAAAATAAACCTCTTCAGGATGATACAAGACCTGGTGACCCTGTCAGTGTGTATTTTGTGATAATGACAGTGATTGTACATTATCCCCTACTTAATATGCACTGTCAGAACTCTTGTTTTAAGCTGATAATCAAGGCTTTATTTATCACCCTTCTGCTTTCAACTCCAGATTTTTTTTTTTTTGTAATTTGTTTCATCAGTAGCCCTCAAAACACAGAATAACCTCAATGGAGACTCTCTTCTTTACATTTCAATCATCTCCCTTCTTTTAGTTTAGTCTTTGGGGAATGCTAGAATTGCTTTTCAGATGAGAGAGGGATTTTTTTCTAGTGTTAAGCAACTGTTTAGCAGGAATCAAATTGGAAGAGGAGAAACCCACTGGAGATAAAGAGTAAATAAAAACAGAGGTTTGTTTTCTCTATGTCCTCTGGTAAAATGAATTATACACTCTTGTTCCAATTTTTTCTTACCACTATATGGTGCCAGAGACCGCGCTGCAAATCATCTGTAGTACCACAGCTGACCTGAAGAGAGCAGTAGAGACACTGCTGAAATTTGCCATGGACTCTTCACTGTATGTGAGCCATCACTGGTTTTGCTTCATCATCATCATCATCATCATCACCACCGAGTTTGTAAACAGTAGGTTACCAGGAATGTTGATTACCACAGGTGAGGATGTCATGCTATCCTAGATATTGTA